CGGGGGGCCGGAGAGAGTCGGGGAGTGACGGAGGAGAAGACGGCGGCCATGGGAGGAGGATGTGGTGCGCGAACGGGATAAGCTTCTCCGCTTCCTTCAATTGAAATTCGATTCGATGAGGATAATAATTAAATTTTCGTAAAGAATAAAGTAATGCTTTTTATCAAATATTTAAGCGATTTTAGTTTTGTAATGATATTGAGAAAAAAAATCCCAAACAAAAAAAATATATATATATGTTTTTTAAGAAGTAGAAATTCTCAATCATTAAAATAATTCTATGGACGACAAATCACAAAGACATCCTATGGACGGCGAAGGATGTGACGTGGCCCCGCAGGGCCTACCAAGGGCGACCCCAATTCGCATGCTAACTGGGCCGTCCTTCGTACCTCGGATACAGGGCGCCTCAGATGAATATGAGGAAGATCTTCCTTGAAGGATCCAACCTATCAGACCAACTAGGACGAGCCCACTACTTCCCAACCTAGATAGATCGAGAAAAAGAAATGAGCCGTCAATTCCAAGGTGGTTAATGTGGAACTTCAGTAAGTAGCCGCCCCTTATGGCCATTCGATCACATAACTGTTCAACTTAAATGATAGTATGGCCTTGCAACTGCTCGGTTTGAGGGCCGCTCGGACCAAAAACCGTCCAGCCTCGCAATCGCCTCACTTGAGTGCCGCTCGAACCATTCGTAGTCTGGTCTTATAGCAGCTCGACTTCAAATGATTGCTCGGCCCATATAGTCGCCCGGCTTAAGGACCGTCGGCCTTGTAGCCGCCCGGCTTAACGGCCTCCCAGCCTAACGACGCCAGACAACATCTATAGGCCCCACGGGTCGAATTCATGTACAAAATGAAATATCCCTTCAATACCTAGTACTTTAGGGGCACGTCATGTAATTGTGCAATGACTCATTCCTATAAATATATGGTCTATTTCATGAATAAAATTTGCACAAATTGACTATTCATTAATGTGCTATTGCTCTCCCCTCTCTCTCTCGCCCGTCCCTAAGCATTACTCCTTAGGCATTCGGAAGAATTTGGGTCAGAATGACCCCGTACTTGGTCAGCACGCTCCTAAGCTTCGGCCATAGAGCCAACAAGAGGCCATACCTATACTGATTCTGGTAGAACACCAGATCAAGACTAACGTCGTATGTCGGGTGCCACGTGGCTAGCTTCTTGTGAAGAGTAATCTTGGTACCCGATAAGTAACAATCTTGCAGGCTCTTCACCTCCCGATCCGTCAGAAGGAAGGAATCGGCCGCCTGCATTGTGGCAAAGAGAACCAGAGAACATTTCGGGGCCATTGCAGTTCGACGAAAAGAATGAATTATAAAGAAGGAGAAGAGACCAAAAAACTTAGAGAATAGAGTGCACCAATTGTCATTTCAAATTCCTCCCAAAATATTATTTTATTACAAATAACATTCTTAAAAGTTTCAGATGAAGTGTTTAGTAAAGGGATCCTCCGTGGCTTCATACGGGGCATATCCCTTCTCAAGCAACCTTTGGAGAACCATCTCTCTACCTATCCTGATCCGCTCCATCTGACTGGCCTCGTTATGGAATCAACTTAGGACTGTTGAATCGCGGATGGATATCATCTCGACAAAGACGTTGTTCTGGGAACCTTGGAGCAACACAACTTCCCCATCCGATTGGGCGACAACAACCGACTGATGTTGAAGGGTGACCTCCAGACGCTTATAAGAAGTCATTAACCCTGACACTCCATCGACCCAGGGGGGAGTCTTGGTGAACGGTTTGTTTCTGGGATCATCCAACCTCGTCAATAAACATGAAAGGAGGGGTGATCACATCAAGAGGCCCAGTGGCAATGACAGGGATCGAGTCAATCACATCTCTCGAGTGTCCGCCACCTTTGTCATCCTTCGTCATAATCAACATCTCTACATTTGAAAGGAATATCAAGTAATTATGCCACCCATGAGCCTCTCTAGCTCTGATCTAGTCTTGTGAAGACCTTCCTCTCTCGATAGGGGGCCTCCTCTTCTTTAAGGCCTAGCTGCTTGCTCTCGAACTAATGCAATCGCCATCCGCTGCCTCCGTTCTCTAGCTACTGCGATCGACAACCGCCCCCTCCTTGGACAGGGCAGACGGGTCCCACACAACCGTATCGTCACTCGGGCTAGGACCTACGGGTGTCCGAAGAAACCTCTTCGGTGACCACTCTTCGGGTCTCTAGGAAGAAGCTACCAGATCGGCCAAATTAGGACCGATTGTCTCACTCGTTTCTCCTTTCTAATCACTTTCTTTTTTAGACCAGATGCCTGAGCAAGGGGAATATCTTGCCAGGTCAATAGGCTCAGTCAGACCATCTTTTTGCTCATACCGCCCGACATGATGCCTACTCAGCGGTCCAAAAAAATCGACAACAGATGAATAGCCCAATTTCTGGCCTTATTTATAAGACACGCAGGACACATAAATAAAGGGAGAATTGATTATTAAATTCTTCTTTTTAGTTGTCGTAACACAATTAACTAATAATTTCCCTATCCTTATCGCAACCAACATCATAAAGGAACATGAAAAATTGGGGAACTCATATGTATACATCAAAACTACCCGCACAAATCTCAAAGATAACGAACCGTATACACTAAAACTACTCGCACAAATCTCAAAGATAACGAACAACTGAGAATATGAAGCATCCCTTCAAGGTAAGTGATCAACCGACAATTCAACGCCAAGCATTAGAAATCGCGTCTCTAAAACTGGGATAGCTCAAGGCTCTGGAAATGATTCCTCACTTGATAGCGAAAAGATTCGCAGAGGGTGAGGCGCGAATTATCTCGACAGCGAGTCTCGTTAGATAGCCCGCATAGACACCAACAAGATCCGCCCAGAACCATGCGAGAGGGGAGATCCGACCGAGGCAATGAACTGGCAGACAAACGAGACACAAGTCCTGTAAGACATGAGACAACAAGTGAACCACGACTCACCTAACAAAATAAATTGACCCATCAGTCGACCAATTGGGCGAAACAACATGTATTGTAGAGCATATAGGCCAGACCTCTTAACAAAAAGAACGACGGTATTCAGACCAACCTAGGCGGATTTCAGAAGAGCAACTTATACGATCGATCACCCGTTGGCCGATAACATTCACTTGAACTCACAAGTTATTGTAAACCATTATTCTTTGTCTGATTTTTTTCCTGAGAAAATTGTCGTGTGCTCTTACTCTCGCCTCTTTCAATTCCTACTCTCAGAGTGTACTCACAAAAAGACAAGTTAGGATTCAACATATATACATATACAGATACATACATACATACATATATATAGATACATACATATATGTGTGTATACATACATACATATATGTGTGTATACATACATACATATATGTGTGTATACATACATACATATATGTATGTATACATACATACATATCTATGTATATGTATGTATACATACATACATATATGTATGTATCCATACATACATATCTGTATGCATACATACATACATCTCTGTATGCATACATACATACATATCTGTATGCATACATACATACATACATATCTATATGTATACATACATACATACATATGTATATATATACATACATACATATGTATATACATACATACATACATATACATATACACATACATACATACATGTATATACATACATGTATATACATACATACATACATACACATATATACATACATACATACATGTATATATATACATACATACATACATGTATATATATACATACATACATACATGTATATATATACATACATACATACATGTATATATATACATACATACATACATGTATATATATACATACATACATACATGTATATATATACATACATACATACATGTATATATAAATTTTATCCGAAACACAAGATTTTCTTAATATTTTACTTGCTGATTAAATATAAGATTTTTCGGTTAAAAATAGTTTGTAAAAGAATTTCCTTACAAGATCAACTAAAACTGTATATTCTTTTTCCTTGCAAATTAAAAAAAAAAATTAATTTTTACAAAATAAATAAATTTATTAAAAAAAAATTTTTGAGAAATAAAAGTAAAATTTTTAAAATTTTTAATGAGAAAAAAAAACAAAATATTATATTTGAAATTATTTTAGAGATCAATATTATTGCTATTGTTGAATTATATCAAAATGAGAGACTAAAAGTCTGTTTGGGGCAGGCGCATTTGTTTGAAGAAGAAGCTATGAAGTTATTGAAGAAGTTGTTGTACAAAAGACTGTGGTGGCTATTGCCAAATTTTATTTATTTTTTTTAAAGTCAGACGCAGTTTTCTGGCCGCCAGCACAGGTACCCAAGTTTGGTGGGAAAACGCAGCTTTCAGCTGCACCTTTTTGAGAACGCAGACAAAACACTGTTTTGCCAAATAGAAAAAACTACGATGCGGCACCACACCACCATCGCAACACAGCCCCAAACATATCCTAAAAAGAGATGCACACCACATTTGGTTACCATGAATTTATATGAAATAGGCAATTAAAAGTTCATCTCAAAATTAATCAAATGATTTTGAGACTGGTTCCGATTAAAAAATTTAAGCTATTTTAATCATAGATGCACACCACATTTGCAAGACTTTAAACCAATGATTTATTTGTTCAAAGTCTAAACTCGACTTGAAATTGGCATTTCTTCTCACTTGATCTCGAATCTTTAGAAAAAGGTGGTTAGTAGGTCCCAATTTCTATAGTTGTTAGTCAACTTAATTATGAAAATTATAGAGCCTCTCTCTGCCTTGAAGAACCTCATGAGAACCTCCAATGCTCGATAGAATTCACACGAGTTCATCCGACTAGATCCGCTAAACTTGAATCCTTAAACGAGCTACTCCAACCGAGTCCGCTCACTTTTTATGAGTTCTTCCTCCATGCTTGTTTGTATTAATGGAGTCATCCAACTAAGCTCGTCGATATTGGCTGATGCATCGAGTTTGAAGAACAGTTTTTTGAGGCAGAAGGAAGATAACTTCAGTTCATCATCAAATATATATGAATTGGTCGGAAACAAAGAAGATTAATGTTGATTATGATTGTGATTGTTGGCCGTAATAAGATTATTTATTAGAGTTGGTGTGGGGTTTTTCCTCAATTTATGTACCAACTACATTTGGGCCGTTTCATATCTGCATCAACCAGCATTGATGAAGACTACTATTAAACTCCTAAGAAATAAGAAGACATTTTTATTTGAAAAATGTACGATTGAGTCATTTTGGTAAAGTGGACTCAAATTATTTTTATGAGTAGTTTTATTGGCAGAGTAAACCATTTTCATATTTGAAATTTACATGAATTTGTTTAGTCATCTTGTTAAGAGAGATGAACTTACATAG